CTGTCTCTTTCCCGTATGGCCCAATAAGGCCCAATACTTCTCCCCCGTATTCCTGTAACTCCCCGGTACTCCGAAAAATACCCGAACCACTTGGAACCTTTCCGATGTCCGAATATAGTCGTCCAATATATCGATTTTTACGTCTCGACCATTTCGAGACTCCTCGTCATGTCCCCGATCTCATCCGGGACTCCGAACTCCTTCGGTACATCAAAACTCATGAACTCATTATATAACTGTCATCGAAACCTTAAGCGTGCGGACCCTATGGTTCAAGAACAATGTATACATGACCGAGACACGTCTCCGGTCAATAACCAATAGCGGGACCTGGATGCCCATATTGGCTCCTACATATTCTACGAAGATCTTTATCGGTCAGACCGCATAACAACATACGTTGTTCCCTTTGTCATCGGTATGTTACTTGCCCGAGATTCAATCGTCGGTATCTCAATACCTAGTTCAATCTCGTTACCGGCAAGTCTCTTTACTCGTTCCGTAATACATCATCTCACAACTAACTCATTAGTTGCAATGCTTGTAAGGCTTATGTGATGTGCATTACCGAGAGGGCCCAGAGATACCTCTCCGACAATCGGAGTGACAAATCCTAATCTCGAAATACGCCAACCCAACATGTACCTTTGGAGACACCTGTAGAGCACCTTTATAATCACCCAGTTACGTTGTGACGTTTGGTAGCACACAAAGTGTTCCTCCGGCAAACGGGAGTTGCATAATCTCATAGTCATAGGAACATGTATAAGTCATGAAGAAAGCAATAGCAACATACTAAACGATCGGGTGCTAAGCTAATGGAATGGGTCATGTCAATCAGATCATTCACCTAATGATGTGATCCCGTTAATCAAATAACAACTCTTTTGTTTATGGTTAGGAAACATAACCATCTTCGATTAACGAGCTAGTCAAGTAGAGGCATACTAGTGACACTCTGTTTGTCTATGTATTCACACATGTATTATGTTTCCGGTTAATACAATTCTAGCATGAATAATAAACATTTATCATGATATAAGGAAATAAATAATAACTTTATTATTGCCTATAGGGCATATTTCCTTCAGATTTTCACCTGAATTAGTAGGAAAATTTGCATGTTGATCAAGCACTCGTTCACCCCCATGATCAATAGGCTCAGACAGGGTAGTTTCAGGTAGCAATAAGATCTCAGATCGAAGGGGAGTGCCTGCATTAGGGTTTAAAGCCTTGAAAGAAAAAACCGTCTCATCGAAGATGACATCCTTAGATATGTAGACTCGGCCAACAGCAACATCAAGGCATTTAAAACCTTTGTGAAGATTGCTGTATCCGAGAAAAACACATTGTTTGGATCGAAATTCTAATTTTTTGGAATTATAGGGACGGAGGTTTGGCCAACAAGCACATCCAAAAACTCGAAGGGAATGATAGTTTGGTTGTTCATGAAACAGACGACCCAGGGGGGTTTCATAGTTGATCGCTTTACTAGGGGTGCGATTTATGAGATATGTGGCAGAGAGAAAAGCCTCATCCCAAAATTTTAAAGGCATGGAGGCATGAGCCAAGAGAGAAAGACCCACATCGACAATGTGACGATGTTTTCTTTCAGCTGATCCGTTCTGCTGATGAGCATGAGGACAGGAGACATGGTGGGTGATTCCTAGTTGGCGAAAGAAGGAATTTAAACGTTCATATTCGCCACCCCAGTCAGTTTGCATGGTGATAATTTTCCTATTGAACAACCTTTCAACTAATGCTTGAAATTCATGAAAGATTTTGAAGACTTCAGACTTATGCTTAAGAAGATAGATCCATGTGAATTTGCTATAATCGTCAATGAAGGACACATAATAGTTTTTCCTATTGATAGAATCATGGGCAGGCCCCCATACATCGAAGAAAATTTGCTCTAAAGGAGCTTTAGATACACTGATCGAACTAGGATATGGTAGTTGGTGGCTCTTGCCTAATTGACAAGCGTCACAAACACCTTCTTTATTCAACTCACTACTTGAAAAAGGAATGTTGTTGTGGCTAAGGACATGACGAACTATGGTTGATGAAGGATGCCCTAGCCGACTGTGCCACCTGTCCATGGACACTTTATTGACACCAAACGCCTGTTTGCTGGAGGTCACCGGAGCCGATGATAGGGGGTAAAGACCACGTTTACACCTGCCTTGGAGAAGGGTTCTCCTCGTTCCCTGTTCCTTAACGAAAAATAAACGTGGGTGAATTTCAAGAAAGGTATTGTTGTCAGTGGATAAACGATGAGCTGAGATAAGATTTTTGGTGGCATCGGGTACATGCAATATATTTTTGAGATGAAGATCACGAGTGGGGGTTTGAACAGTGGATTGACCAATATGACAAATTTCCATACCTTCCCCGTTTGCAGTATGGACTTGCTCGTTGCCGTTGTACTTGTTGCGGACGGTCAACTTGTCGAGCTCGCTGGTGATGTGGTCCGTGGCCCCCGTGTCCAGGTACCAGTTTGTGTCCACTCCATAGGACGAGGTGGTGGCCGAGCCTGCACTTTTCTCGTTCTTGGTGAAGGATATGTCGAAGCGGCGGTAGCACTCGACGGCGGTGTGGTTTGGCTTCTTGCAAATCTGGCAAACAACCTCAGGGAGATCGTTGCCTCCTCCATTGTCGTTGCCCCGGCCTCCATTGCCGCGGCCACCGCCTCCATTGCCATGACCTCCATCCATGGCCTCCTCCATTTCCACGGCCTCCACGGCCGCCTCCGCGACCGAAACCACCACGGCCACGAGACACGACGTTGGCCGAGGATTGAGAGGACTGATTTCCCCCTTCAAACATGGCAAGACGCTTTTCAAAACCAATCAGCTGAGAATAAAGTTCAGCTACCTTGATGGGCTCAGTCCTCGCAGCGTAGATGGATGAGACGAAGGAGATGTAGTCGAAGTCGAGTCCGGCGAGGATGTAGGAGACCATGTCATCATCGTCGAGCGGCTTCCCTGCTGAAGCCATCTCGTCGCCTAGCGCTTTCATGCGCCCGATGTACTCGGCGATGGTCGCGGTGCCCTTTTTGGTGGTGGAGAGGGCGATCCGCGTGTTGACGATGTTGGCCTGCGTCTGGGAGAGAAACATCTCTCTGATCGCGGTCCATGCCGTGGCGGCCTTGCTGCAGTGGGCGACTTGGATCATCACAGGAGCAGAGATTGAATTGAGGATGAAGCTGAGCACCTGGGAGTCTTGCGCCAACGCGGTGAGATGTTCCGAATTTGGCACATCTGTGGGCTTGCCGTCCTTGTCGACAAGCTTGGGTTCCAAGAACGGGTGATCGGGGTTGAGGTGGTCGATCAGTCGGGCTCCGCAGATGGTAGCTAAGGCCTGTGCGCGCCACACTAGGTAGTTGCCGCGGTGGAGCTTTTCAGCGATGGGAATGAGCGCATATGGAGCGGCGGCGGCGGCGGAGCTAGAGCTGGCCATGGCTACTAGGTTTGATGCGAGCTGCTAGGTTTGGATGTGGTAGAGGAACTAGGCTCTGATACCACGAAAGATTGCATGGAAGCGTATGCCCTTGAGCAGGGACACGTAGGTGTTATATAGGCAATGGAGATTACATCATGCGGTAGTTAGGTTGTGGATTGATCCTCAAGAAAACTATACAAGAGATAAGGATAAACCCTAACAACCTAACCACCTAGATTACAACGCACGCAATCTACCTACCTCTCTACGGTATACGGTTTACAATACCGTATACCTTGTACATGACTCTTTCTAACACTGCCCCCTGGAAACAAACCCAACAAACTTTTGCTTTCATCTCATAAACAAACCAGCATCTTCAAGGCAGACTCTTAAACCACTCGCATCCGTCTGGACCGTGCGGTCTGGATGTGTTTTGCCGTCCAACGCTGTCATTTTGACTGTCGGTATCTGCCTGGTTGATTTTGTTTCTTGATGACTTTGTACGTACGTAAATTTGCCAGCCACAAGCTGGTGCGGAACCAAAGGGGGAGCTATGAGACAGAGTACTCCGAAAATCTCATGTTCTATCTGCAAGTGTGCATTGTTTGGCTTTCTTCTTCAGCTCTGTTTTTGTGCGCAGTACAGGACGCTTGTACTTCCATCCCATAATTTCAGAATCTCAGAAGATGCTTTAAGATGAAAATTCAGCTTGTTTGCCCGGGCTCATCTACACCCGGAAAAATAATAAAAAAAAAACCGACTTTTTTTGGGTGCAGAATCCTCAAAGGCATGATGTTCATGCAAAAATTCGGGTGTTTGGGCATTGGAGGAGCTGCAAAATTTCGGGGTGTTTGAACATTCGAGGAGCTCCTGACAAAAAAGTCAAAATCAGATGTGAGCAGTGTTATTTTCAAAAGTTTCTCAGACACCCGAAATTTATCTTTTTCATCACGAGCTCCTCGAATACCCAAACTTCACCAAATTTTGCACGGACAACACACACATAAGCATCTTGCATCACGGAATAATTTACATTTTTTTGCTATTTCAAACGTTTTCACTGTTCACATTCGGCCTCATCTGAGCCCGGGTGCAGAACAGCCGCATCCATACAATTACATCCATTCCATTGTGCTGGTTTTTTTTGAACTTTGAAATTGCAATGGTTTTCTTTTTCCTTTGAAATTACAGAGTAGTTAGTTGTTGTTTTTTTGAGGTCAGAGTAGTTAGTTGTTAGGCTCAGAGGAAGCAGAATGGGAAGGCCCAATCCCTGGTGGGCAAAGGAGAGCACTGACATGTGGGCCCACCTGCCAGTGCCAGCCAACTTACGAACGTACCAAAGGCGGCAAGTTAGCGGGTTCTGGGCCTCGGTCCGGCCACTAAACTGAAGTGAGAGCCCGAATCCACAAACCCATTTCTCTTCCTTCCTGAGGAAGGAGCCACTCTTCCCATTCGAGGAATATAAAACCGACCCAACCAACTCCCAACGAAGCGGCGCGCTCCCGAGGAAGCGGAGGAGGGCCCGGCCGCAATTTCACAAAGTTCCGGGGAGGATGCCGATAGAGATGCCGCGGGGGCTCCCCTTCGCCGTGGACACGTGGGGCCCCTCCTCCCGCCGCCGGCGCCACCGCTTCCTCACCCACGCGCACCGGGACCACCTCGTCGGCGCCGCCGGGGCCGGCCCCGGAGGAGGAGGGGGCGCCCTCTACGCCACCCGCCTCACCTTGTCCCTCGCCCTCCGCCACTTCCCCCAGGTACCTTAGCCTGTGATACCCTCTCCCAGAGAGCCGCGGTGAATTTCCGGTGAATTGAGATTTCTCGCGCGGTGCGGTCGTGTTGCAGCTGGACCAGGGGGAGTTTGTGGAGGTCGAGGTGGGGAGGACGTTCAAGGTGGACGACCCCGCCGGCGCCTTCTCCGTCACCGTGTACGATGCCAACCACTGCCCTGGTAACGCTCCTTGCTTGCTCTGCTTATCTTGTTACAGCAGTCTTTATGATTGAACTTGCTAGTGCATAGATCAATCCTACTACTCCAAATGCGCCGTACCTAAGATTGAGCTTGGTAGTGCATAAATCAATCCTGCTTTCATTTCTGAAACTGATAAACAGTCAGGTGTCAATTTCTGAAATGCGTACCTAAGATTGAAGTTGCTAGTGCATATATCAATCCTGCTTTCATTTCTGAAACTGATGAACAGACAGCTCCCAAGTTCTGAAATGCATCGTACCTAAGATTGGACTTGCTAGTGCATAAATCAATCATGCTTTCATCTCTGAAACTGATGATCAGTCAGCTCCCAAGATCTGAAATGCATCGAACCTATGATTGAACTTGCTAGTTGCTAGTGCATAAATCAATCCTGCTTTCATTTCTGAAACTGATAAACAGTCAGCTCCCAAGTTCTGAAATGCAAAATGAAACACCACATCATCAAGCTAGCCCATCCCGGTGTAGCATCGCCCCTGGCAGCTACTGGGAGATCTAAGCAGGCTTTCAACGTTTTTAGACGCACAACAGTAGCATAATAGCTGGGCCAAAAGAGCACCACAAAAACGAGATGCAGATGCAAAGCGTTTGCCTCAGAGTGTCTCCACGGACCACGGCCGACAATTCCCAGCTGCCTGACGCTCACCAGAAACACTCAGTTACGGCATTCCTCGGCAGCCATCAGCGCTGACCCCCGCCTCCGATTGAAGAACTGAGATGCCATTTGCAGAAATAAGCTTGCCCCTCGGCGCTGCATTGAGCGCACACCTGCTTTATGCCTTTATGTAATCCAGAGTAAAAGTTCAACCAATGAGCCGTTTTCGCTACAAGACTAGTTGGGTCATAAGGAAACACATTACGAAAGCAAGCTGCATTACGATATGTCCCAATCAACGAAATGAGAGCAGCTACCCTACAGCTAAGCGCCCCCTGTGAGACCCTTGCAAATTTAGCACCCAACCATATAAATTTGCTACTAAACTTTATCTCAATGTCAATATCCAAAGCACATTTTGGTGCACCCCAGGCATGTCTAACGATGGAACAATGCACACAAAAATGATATTATCTCCAACATTACAATTTACCAGCTGATATTTCCGTCCCCCCTTCCTGTCTTGCCACAACAGTTTCTATCTTGAAAAAAATTTAGATAATTCAAATGTAGACATGATCTAAGCAGTTATAATTTCCCCTTCATTGGAGAGAAACTTCCTCTGCGATGTGCCCAGTTTACCCTCTACCTTTTATTTATTTCTCTTCCAGTTACCATGTGTTGTCTTTTCTTGAGTAGGGGACCCCCTAGATATTTCATAGTCAGAACTGCCTCCACACAAGTAAAAATTCCATATACTGTTCCCTGTCCTGATTAGATTCTCCCAGACAACATATTTCACTCTTGTGAACATTTTTAAACCAGATAATTCAACCTCGAACAGAAACACTGTGTCATCAGTACATGGAAGCATGGCTAGAACTCATGTTACCAGATTTGGCACAACACCTCTAATCAAGTTTCCTTAACCCAAGCTCGAGCATATGTTTTGCTATATTAGTGATATCATAAAATGCGCCCTGGAAATTGGGAATTTGGCCTTTGGCACTAACTGTTGCCGTTCCCTCTGATTTCAGGGGCAGTTATGTTCTTGTTTGAGGGTGAATTCGGTAGCATACTGCACACGGGTGACTGCCGACTGACACCAGATTGTGCTCAGAACTTGCCACTGAAATACATAGCAAAGAAAGGGAAAGACAATGTTTGTCGTTTAGACTTCGTGTTCCTGGACTGCACATTTTCCAAATGCTTCCTCAAACTACCAAGCAAGGAGTTGGCAATCCAGCAGGTTATCCTCTGCTCTGAGATTTTAAATGTGCTTGTCATTGCCTGGGGGGCTGTAGTTATGACAACGGGGAAGTCACCATTTTGAAATGATTCAGTAAATGCAGGTTATAGCTTGTATATGGAAGCATCCGGATGCACCTTTTGTATATCTTGCTTGTGACCTTCTTGGTCACGAAGAGATCCTAGTTGAGGTGTCCAGGACGTTTGGATCGAAAATTTATGTTGACACGAGAAGGAATTCAGATTGTTTTAAAGCGCTGTCACTCACAGCCCCTGAGATCATCACTGATGATCCATCTTGTCGCTTTCAGGTGTGTTACTCGATGACATTCATTCTGTTTTAATTCACATACCGCTAACCTGTCTAAAGCTGTTATTGAAAACAATAATGCGAATTCTGTAACCAATTTTGAGTAGTAAAATGATTAATTCGTGTCACTGTTCTTATGTGTAGTCACAGAGTACTTCTTTTCTTTCTTTTTTTACTTTGTTAGCTCTAACTCTGTTAACTCAACAGATAGTTGGATTCAACCAATTCGTCTGATGTATATTGCATGTAAAGTAGGTACTTTTTTCTTTCTACTATCTTGGCTTTAACCATTTTTATTTCCACAGATAGTTGGATTCCACCATTTGTATGATAATGCAAGTAAAAAGCTTGAAGGGGCAAGGGCTAGTCTTCAGCCGGAGCCTTTATTCATCCGCCCCTCAACGCAGTGGTATGCCTGTGGTCGGAACCAGAAACCCAGCCTAACAGAAGCTCAGCAGGATGATTTTGGGATCTGGCATGTCTGTTTCTCCATTCACTCTTCTCGGGACGAGTTGGAGCAGGCGATGCAACTTCTTCAACCTCAATGGGTCATCTCAACAACTCCCCCATGCTTTGCCATGGAGCTGAGCTATGTGAAGAAACATTGTTTCAAGACTCGCTTGACAACTAATGATCCATTGTGGAAGATATTCAGGGATCCTCTTCAAAAGTCAGTAACCTCGCCCTCATCGCTGCTTGCTTCTTGCACGCAGCCAGATGAAGTTCTCTCAACTTTTGTTGATGATGATCATCCAACTTCTGCCAGTGAAGAATGCACAGATTTTGATGTCAGCACACTTGAACTGCAATTTGTGCCATCCCCTCCAGTTGAAGAACCAGATATTACATTGTTTGGAAGAGCAAGATTTGGTTCTCAAGCGATTGACATAATGAAAGAAGAGTTGTGCCACCAGTACATTGCTGCAGCTGAACAAACCAGATTTTGTGCACCGGAAGATTTGCTTCATGATAGCAGCCAAAATGTTGAAACATATTCTGGTATGGATTTGATCACAAAGCAAGCCCCAGCTTCCCAACAAGATTGTGGGGAAGCTGGAGATGTGGCCCCCTCCTGTCAGTGTGCCGAAGCTGGAGATGTGGCCCCTTCCTCTCAGTGTAAAGCACCACCCCCAACCATACCAGAAGCATTTGCAGTTCAACCTTTGCCTACTGTTGAACACAATATATCAGTAGTGTCTGATCAACCAGAAAAGTCTGACATTATAATAGAGCCAATATCAATAAGCACTACGGAAAGTTCAAGCCTTCGCATGGTCAGAAATGCAGAAGTAACAGAATGTCAAACGGACCACCTGTGTGTCATTGGATCATCGAAATCTTTGCATGCAAGTCTGAAGAGGCTGTACAGATCGAGGAATGTCCCTGTCCCGCATCCTCTCCCGTCTCTTGTTGGACTTTTGGAATCCACTAAACGGGTCAAAAGGCGACCTGGCTCTGATTATAGCTTGTTGAATTCACGGCACAGCCTACCTTGAAGATAAGATCGAGCTTATACCTTGCCTTCAATGAGATATATTTTATAGCACATACGACAAATATAGACAAATATGGACCGTGAAGTATTCAGATTCTTGAGATTATAGTGTTGCCAACTAAATTACTTCAACGAATATATCTGGAGAGCATATGTGTGTTTGTATTTGATATATGGGTTTTGAAATGTTATGTTGTACATCAAGCTGTTGTAATTTCACAAGATTACTCTGTGAGATAAATAAAGGTTTTTCTTCTACCATTTTTTTGGTAGAAACCTGTGGCCAAACTGCTGCCAACTACTCTATTGGTTATAAGAAAAATCTGGGTGGACTTTTGCAAGTATTTACATGATTGTATTGATAGACAGAAACCTGTGGCCAAACTGTGTATATATTACTGCATGTTCTAGTTCCCAAACAGACACATCATTGTACTTAGGAGTATGTTCTAGCAACATAAATAGATTTATACATGGAGCAGAGTCGACATGTCATGATTCTATCCCAGAATACAACAACACAACCAGTTGCTGCAGCAGCACAACATGGTTCACCCGGGCGATCTGCCAAACTCAATTATTCTGACAAGCAGACTCCTAAAATTAGATAAGATCAGCCAAGAACTCCTCCGTGGTCCACACCCTTTTTACAACCTCTGCACCAGAAGCTCCTAAAATACAGCAGTGCTAATGCAACCCAAGTCAGCGAGCTCGATCTATTGCCATGCGGAGGCGACGATGAGCGTTTTCTCTCCCCAGCCGAAGTGAAGTCCCCCATGGTCCTCCTCGAACTTGTACCTGTCGCAGTACGAGCTCAGCAGCGATCTTATTCCTCCGATGACGTTGCTGCTAAATGGGCACGGTGCGAATCCAGCCATCGTCATTCTCGCCCTCCATTTTCCGGCAACTTCGTACCTGGAGCATAAACAACTACACTGTCAGCTACATGGAGTTTGCAGTATGCATAGTTTGGAAAAACGGGAATAATTTGCATGGCTTATGAGTGGAGAGAAGCACTGGGAATTACCTCTCCACGCGATCAGGGCCTTCGCAAGCCAAGATGTTCACAATTTCCCGTGCAAGGCATTGCCTTTCCACATTCATTCTATCTGGACTTTCCCTTGGAAGTGTTGCCTCCAGTGAATCGAAAAGAGCGGAGTAGTAGTCATAGACCTCACGGAACCTGTGAAAGTCAGATGTTTCAGGTATTTTTAGGGGCTCAGCAGTGGGAAGAGAAGCACAAGAGTCGATACACAGAATCTACGAAGAAATAGTTACTATCTACAAAGGATTCGGAAAAACTATCCAATCCACAAAAAACCGTAATTACTGCCGCAATAGAATTGGATAATGAGATAACCAACCTTGTCTGAAATGGAGCAGTATTAGTATTAGCATCCTGCTCAACCAGGGTCACAAGCTTTGGTTGAAGGCCCTTCACCATACGAAGGAGCTGATCCCGTTCGTTCATGATCGAAACACTTTCATCAGGAAGGTGGTGCAGCTGGAATGCAAAATTCACAACTAGTGCTTCCCCGGGACGGCAATCTAGCATTGCAGGTGTGACATCCCCGATGTCAGCACCCACTGCCCTGAACTCAAAAGATATTCTGCAGTCCTCCGCAAGCTTCTCCAGGCGTTGCCCAATGACCTTCAGACCTCCAACAGTCCTCTGTACTGTCTCGTGATCATCCACACCAGTTATTCTCAAATGGCGTGGTTTGTTGGCATCATCTTTCATAAACTGCATCAGTGTAATATACTGGCTGCCTTGGTTGATGTCAAAGTCTATAATATGCATCCTTTCTTCGCCTTTGCAGGCTTCAAGTATGGCATAATTAGCAGCCATGAAACCAAATCGATAGCATGGACAGATCTCAAAGAGGATTTGCATTGCTGACAGCTGATACAGAGTTGGAGGGTCCTTGCATGTCAATGCCTTGTAGATGCCTGTCCCTGAAGCTACTATCCTTGCAGCAAGGCCCTCCACTAGATAAGCTGCAATCCTGTGAGAAGGGTCCCCTTGGATTGAGACCATCTGCCGGAGGTCCGTTATGATTGCCTGTGCTTCATCTACATTATATTCAGCTAATGCCGTAGCACAGTCAAAGAGCAACTGCTTTGGGGTCCGTGCTTCTCCGCTGTTGCTGCCTGCACAACTAATGCTTGATTCTGATTCTTTCGGAGAATTTGCAAGCAAGACATCCTTCATGGGATCGGCCCATTCATCACTGATGCAACCCGCCTGGGAAACTTCGAACAAGATGTCATCTCCATCATCAAGTAAAGCATGCTCCAGCTCTTGAAGCTTCAGCCTGATCTCATCATCGAACTCTACTTCAAGTCCAGAACTCTGATTATCTGATATAGACTGGGAGTTCTGTTGAGAGATATTGGAGCACACCGGTGAGTCTTTTGCTGCATCAGAGCAGGGTGTTAGTGAAGCTTGCTGGTTGTAAAAGGAGCTCTGGAATGCAGCAGATGGTGCTTCAGGGAAACCCATATGTCCATAGTCCTCGGAATTGAATGGTTCAGGGCCATAACGGAACAACTGCGTGTCAGAGCCAAATCTTCTTGCAGCAAAGTTTGAGTTGGGTGCGCCAAATTTATGTACATAAATATTATCCGCGTATGTCGTTGACGGGTCTACTCGCCCGACAAAAGACATAGCTCCTCTCAAGCACCTCCGGGCCTGCCAAGCTAAATATCCTGAGGCCTTCTTTCTTCAGAACCTCAGATTAAATCCAAACCCAATGCAATTTTCTTTGATGCCTACAATAAGACAAGGAAGGATCAGCAGCCTCTCTAAATAACAATGAGCTGAAATACATAGCGCTACTTGTTAACAGGAATACAGGATGCCATTTGATGATGTTGCTGTTGTTTTTTCAGTCTAGTAGATTCCCTGTTCATATACCTAACTTGTACTACAAACTAAGGTCATAGTCTCGTACCTAACAAGTAATCCAATCAGACTCACTAGTTAACTGATGGAGCTGGAATTCTGTACAGCATGTTGCAAATTATTTTTTATAGAACATTTAGCAGCTAGCAAGTGGAGTAGCTCGCTGGACATGGTAGGCCACTAAATGCCAGAAAAATACTGCCTAACTTGCAACGAAGACTTGACCACCGATTGCCAGGTCTTAAAGAATACTAGGCGAGAATAATCACATCTACAAGTAGCTGATTTATAAATTTAGTATAATGTTAAGACTTAATACACAAGAAACGCGGAGACAAAATATCAGCCAAGCACAGCTCATTCGCACCACAAACGTTTTTTTGGTGTGAAAAATCCTAAATAACATGCTATGCTCGAGAAAGAAGAAGATAAATCTGCAAGTACTGAAGCCTGAACCAGGAAACTGCTCAAATCTATTGAGAATTTGAGATGCACAAAAACCCACAAATATTGGAAGTATTCATTCTTATCAGATGACATGAGATGCCAATTGGCAAAAAAAATCATGAACTATGCATCAAAGATCAAATAAGGTGTTCCCCTTCCCCTCTGAACATCACCATGGCAGCATGGCACCCGAGGGCCCAAGCAGGCCGGCTCTGCACGCAACCCGAAGAACCATAGCTTGACCCTACGCGACGAGGCCTCCCAAATAGCGCAGGCATGAACATACCAATCAAGAACTCCGACCAGACGAAACGGCCCCAAGAATATCCCGAAAGGGACAAGGACGCGCGCGCGGGCAAGAAATCGGAAGAGCAGCAGCAAACAGCAACGGCCTTGATTGGAGACAGACAAGGAGGTGGCGGGAAGTACTCACGGGGTGATTAGCCGGCCGGGCGGCGCGAGCAGGGAAGCGGAGACCGGACGGAGAGGGCGGGAGGCGGGACGGGAATGGAAGGAGA